AATGCTGGGTGGGCAGGAGGGGGCGAAAATATACGTGTCCGAACCGAGGCTCGAACCCGGACTTTCCGCTTCAGAGACGAGCGTACTAACCGCTCCGCCGCCGCACGCTCCATAATACGTACTGAGCCCCAAAAAATAGTACGCGCGGGGAGGCCTATAAATATCCACCAAAGTGCACAAATCAGGAAGGAGAAACACGTAACAAAAATACTTCGTAAGTGGGGGGCTGATTTCAAGTCACACGGCTTGGTTGAAAATTTAAAACAAGAGATCAAAAACTATGGTCACCCACAGTGGGAGACAGATGCAAGTGCGCGCTCCTGAGAATGTGGCAGTGGTGATGGAGTCTGTGAGCGAAGAAGCTAAAAAGTAAGTTCGTCGTCATAGTACTGAATTAACTATTTCTAGACAATCTGTTCGGCACTTGTTGAAGTACAATCTGAAGTTTAAACCGTACAGGATCCAGGTACATCAAAGGCTCAGCAAAAGGGAAATGTCAAAGACAATTTCGTCAAGCGCCCCAGAGCATGTATCACCTGAAACGGACGTCACATGGTGCATGTGTTCCAATTTCCTTTAAATTTCGAATTTTCATTTTTACATTTGCAGCAGTAGTTCTGCATAGTGACCAAGTACGTCTGTGAAATCTTGTATATATATCATTCTATTTTAACCCGTTTTAATAGGTGTCTCCGTGGGTAAAGTTTTTTTGGTTCACATGGTAGGTTGCATTTGTAAAGCGCAAATCCCCGCTCAACAGCAGTCTCTATGCGTTTTACAGTCTATACTATTACCCCAGCAGACCTGAGAGCATTCTGAAACAAACTCAACTTCCTAGGAAGCATGCAGTGCAAGCTACCATTTATGGACGTTAAAACACCAACATACTGACAAGATCTTTCGCTATCTATGGACGACTACTCATTCCCACCTGGGTGAAGTGAGGAAAATTCGTGTAAAATACCTTTCCCAAGGACACAACTTCGGGCTCGCGGCTGGAACCCCCGAACTCACAACCTCACGATTACGAATCCGGTAGCCTAACCACTATGCCACCGACCTTCTTCCTCTTCTTCTACCCATATGCCATATGTCCCACTCCAACCCATTCCGCCAACGCGCGGTATTTAATGTTGTTACATGCAGAAAAGCAGAGCACAGCTAGTTTAGTGTAATGAGCGGAAACAAGGTGGGCGGAAGCAGAAAAACAGCAGAATCTCTATTCCCAAAGCTATTTACCTCTTTACTTGCAGTCTCAGTGTACAAAAATTATTGTTATGTATTTTTTCTTTAACTTTTTAAAGCTTAAATATGGAATTTCGAGCAATCTCGGTGCACAAGAATGTTGTTGATTTTTGTTGGGAAGTTTTGTTTAGCATACATTGCCGCATTTCGTTTAGTTTCTGCATACTCTTATTTATTTATATTTTTGTGCTTAATGCATGGAATTTATTTTCCCTTTTTGCTGTCCTTCTTACTCCCACTCCCCCCTCCCCCTCCCCAACCACCAAAAAAAAAAAAAAAAAAAAAAAAAAAAAAATATTCCTCTTTTTCCCCACCACTTTCCCAGAATTCATTTTTCCTCTGGCACAAGAAACTGTGCGATTGGTCCTTGTCCGAAAGAAGAAAAAAACAACAACCGACAACTACTGCATGATGTTTGTGGTGCACCATTTCGGAAATGTGGGATGAGAAAGGTGGAGGAGAAGGAGGAGAAGGAGGACTATTATACTAAGTATTAATAAATAAATAAAGAAATAAATAAATAAATAGATAAATAAATACATGCATAAATATATTCATACCTACCAACATACCTACCTACCTACCTACCTACCTACCTACCTACCTACCTACCTACCTACCTATCTACTTACCTACCTACCTACTTACCTACATACCTACCGACCTACCTACCTACAAACCGACCGACCTACCGACCGACCGACCTACCGACCTA